CATTCCTGGGAACAAATCGCAGTGGCACATAGTTGTGCTGCTACTACTTGTCCCTGGGGAAACAAACGTGCATGCTCATCTGGACGTGCCCTCATTAGGGATTTTGCTACATAGGATAATATGTAAACAGCCAGCTAGAACGTTCCAAATCATTCAGGGTGGGACTTTTCAAAAGCACTCTTGCACCAGCCTTACTTCCTCCCAATGAAATCAGTTCCTAATGGTTTGACAGCAAAGGGCACAAAGAAAAAATAAAAGTAAACCCTTTAGAAAATCGGATCTTCAAAGTCTTAATCATCATTTAAAAACCCATTTTATCTCCTTGGACTGTGCTACACCAATTTATTTTTAGATTACAAATGCTACTGCACAGTGCTTTGTGCTGTGTATCACTGTAAACTCATGCAGTTTAAAACTTAATTCTTGATTAATGGATGCCTTAATGGATCCAATGCTACTGAAGCCAAAATAGAATTTTGACAGAGTTACATTGGGAGCAAAATTTTGCCAGAAAATTACATGATGTGAATCAACATTGTAAAAAAACCTAATGTAAGCCAGGAAATAAACAACTGGGGGACAAAAGAGAACCTAAGTCCTTTATCCCCTATGTAAAATGGGACACCCACATAAATTCTTTATCAGTACATCCTCTTAAATCAATTATTCCCTCTTCTCGGGGTGTTTCTTTCCTTTTGGTAGCTTATGGTTGTGGACAGATGTCACTTTAAACTGTTTTAAAAGAGAAAAGGGAACATGCCAATTGAGAACACGCTTCAGTTATTCCAGTTTAACTTTCATGGCTGTCTGCTCCTATACTAGCTTAAGTGAGATAAACTTCTGTAAACCCAAATGAAACAGTTTGAAAATTATGGTAGGTTAGTTCCACTTATACCAGTATAAAAGAAGATAGGTGTATCAGTTATATCAGGATAACTTATGCCAGTGTAATACTAGTATTACATCTTCATTCTGGCTATGGACACATTTGGAGCCATTTCAAAAGGGCAGCAGCTGTTACATTCTAAATGTTATGTCTGGACAAACTGGGAATTGTACCAATGTGGCAAAACTGCTCCAAATTCAACACTTTTTCATCCACTGTTAAAGTTGGAGTGGTTTTGTTTCATTCCCAGTTTGTCCATGCATAATAATTAAAAAGTGACAGCTGCTGCCCTTTTGAACCAGTTCAAAATGTACATGTGCCCATACCCTTTGTATCACAAACTAGAGGACAATTTTGGTGCTGACTTACACCCTCTGCAAAGTCACTGACCCCCATCAGATGGAACAGGAGTTTGTCCCCTTATATTTCTACCAGGCAGATGTTGCTCCTGGTTTTTGTTAACACTTCAGTACAATGATAGGTTAGGTTGTTTCACCCCTTTGCTTTTGCTTTTGAACATGTGCTAATGTTCCATGAGAACATCAGCACTTTATAAAAGATATTACAGACATGGTGGTTAGCATGCATTTTAGCACCCTACTACACATAGTAAATAAGATTGCCCTGAAGTTGTTAAAGTGAGCTAAGCTATATGAAGTGTTTTAGCAACACAGCATCATAATGCACATATCTTCACTGAGAGCCTCCTCTCCTCTATCCTACACTTTTATCTCTCTGCAAAGGGATGGAAAAATGTTTTGAAATCTGAGTAGTGAAAATATATACCTGCTTAGCTCGAATATAAATGGATGCCCCAATGGGTAAAGCAGGAAGGAGTTGGGTCATTTGCATTTGGTGTGTCAGCATGAGGCATACAAAGTTTCCCAGACTGATTGCGAGTCAGATCATAACATTAAGTGTATAATATCCTGGCAGTTTATATGATTAGTCTTGCAAAGGATATGGACCAATTTTCTCATATCATTTCCCACAAGACCATAATTTCCAAATGGTCAGATAGAAAGTCTGGCAGTTGTAGCGAAACATAAGACAATCCTATTGGATTGTCGTAATTGGATTGTGCTGGAGTCATCAATCAGGAGCTTCTCATAGTCTCAATTCAGTATAAGAGATAAGTGGAATGGAATAATCCACTAAATTTGCCATCCCCTTTGTTCCTTTTAAGTAAATTGGTTATGCTTAATTTTGAAGCCAAGCAAGCAACAAAGTTCAGTTTGAATGTTATGAGGTTCAGGATAAAAAAAAGCACAGAAATCAGGCAGAGCAGACAAAATTTCAGGGAGATGTAGAAACAGGAATAGATACTGAGAGGAAAATGTAATGAAAGAGTAAATGAAGAAGGCCAAGTTATGCCCAACCCTTGAGTGGATGTGCAAGAGAGGAAGTAGAAGGAACCTTCATGCTACCTTGCACAAGTTCCTCACATCTCACAATCCTGATTCTTCCATAAACCCAGCAGAGGCCATTCATCTTTTCATGCAAGTCCACAGAGTAAGTGCAGCCAGCACAACATCCCTGGTCAACAGGAGCATGAGGAAAAATATAGTCCATCTCTGGGAGCCATCCCTGAGGTTCCTCTGATCCCTAATGGAAACTTCAATTTTTCATTTGACCAAACATAAATTCTTACAAGGAAAATGTTAGTCTTTATGACCAGATTTTATTGAAAACTTGATTTGGCATTTAAAAAAAAATCATTTTTCTTTTTTGAATATTTCTATTAAAGGTTTTGAATGAAGTAAACATTTTTTCATTCCTCTGACATTTTTACTGGGATTTAGATAGCATTTTTTGAATACCTTTGCCATGAGGAAACACAAATATACATACAATACCCTTACTGTATAGAAGGCATCCACTTGTGTCAACCTAAGTTTGGAAGAAGGAAGAGGAAAACTTCAGTCTCAAACATAGAGCTCAGGCTTCCCTTTAATTAAAAAAAAAACCCTAATTGTCTTATTTATGCGGCTAATTAGTTGCTATAATAAATTAATCTAATTACACTGAAGCAGATTTTCCTCATTTTACATTTGTATAGATCCCTTAGGTAAAATTGTGTTGGCTCTAAAGTCATTCTATAAAACATATGGAAAATTAAGTTAGTGGACTTATGCCAATGGAGAATCTCTCTCAGTAAATATAAAGTTGAGTTTCTGATACTGTCTGATGTCACAAATATTTTATGCTGCACCAGCCTATTCTCCTGCTGCTTGGTCATCAGATTAGTGGGAGTTATATTTGCTTCCTGATGTGCATACATGCAAATCATAAAGTATAATAATACTTTGTGTATACAAAATTATATCAACTGCAAAAATACATAATTGTATCAAAACAGGCACAATTATAAGCTGTTTTCAGACAGGCAAAGATGTTTACAGCATCTGCACTGTAGGCAAGCCTGTCTCTGCCTTTGTTTTACATAATTACATACCCTTTGGATATCATATCATTTCCAAACCTTTATGGCAAAGTTGACACTCGGGAGGAGAGGGAGAAACAACATGTTTTGCTCCTCCATCCCCTGCATTATGCAAAGGCACAGCTTCACAAAGAATCACTTGAAAACTTCATTATGAAATATGTAACTCAGTCTGATTTTTAAAAAATGTTCCTCTTCAAAAACATCAATATTATTCAATTTAGGATTCAGTGACAGACTTTTGGAACTAGTTCAGAATAAAATCTGCTACGATACATTTCAATCCTGAGTCTGCTAGAGCAAACGTGAGTTTTGCTATTGATATCACTAGAGCAAAGCCAGGCTCATGTCTTTGAATTGGAAATGAAAACCAGCCAAGTTTTGCAGGTTTTCAGATTTTGCAACAAAACTCTGAAATGAAACAAGTCACATAAACATTTCTGTTCATGGTGAAGTCCTCGCTTGGATGTGAAAGATTTCTTCCAGCCTGCAACTTCTGCTGCTTCCAGCCTCTCAACTTAGATATGTAGAATGTATGCATCT